TTCTAAATCAGTTATTTCCACTCTGTATGAGTTATGGACAAGTAGAAAACCCATTTTGAGTTTTCTAAAACCTTGGGGTTGTGCCGCTTATACACATGAATCTTCTCATAAGTATGGGAAATTAGGTCCTAGAGGTAAGAAGAGTATCTTCATAAGGTATTCGGAAACCTCAAAAGGATATGTATTTATAGGTGAGCAAGAAAGTGGGAGTATAATTGAATTTGAATCACGAGATGTCACATTCTTAGAGAATGAGTTTCCTAAGAAGGGCGAAATAGGTGAGAACTACTCACTATTTGAAACCTTGGATCCTGATAGTGAAATCGATAAAGTTCGTCCAAGTGGAAGCAATGTGAGAAGTGAAGAATTGAATTCGACTCAATCTCAATTGCAACCTTTTGATGAGGCGATTCCGTCATTATCTAATCCAAGTGGGAGCATAATGGAGAATGATATACCACGTGTACAATCTCCCATACGGCGAATAAGTCGCAAAAGTATTCCCCGACGACGTTTTGACATTGAAGGGGAAACTTTCATGATCGCTCCACAAAATGAAGACGAGCCAAGAAACGTAAATGAGGCTCTAAATTGCCCTAATAAAGAAAAATGGATGATTGCAATGAAAGAAGAAATTGAGTCAATGAAGTCAAACCATGTTTGGGAACTGGTTGATCTTCCAGAATGACGCAAAGCTATCGGGAATAAATGGGTTCTCAAAATAAAACGCAAATCCGATGGCTCAATAGAAAGATATAAGGCTCGTCTAGTGGCGAAAGGGTATAATCAACAGGAAGGAATTGATTATGAAGAAACTTTCTCTCCTGTAGTGAGATTTACCTCAATTCGCCTTATTCTGGCAATAGTGACAAGCATGGATCTTGAATTACATCAAATGGATGTAAAGACTGCTTTTCTAAATGGAGAATTAGAAGAAGAAATTTACATGGAGCAGCCAGTAGGCTTCATTGTGAAAGGCCAAGAACAAAAAGTATGTCGACTTCTAAGATCGATATATGGCCTTAAGCAGTCTTCGAGACAATGGTATATACGTTTTCATAATGCCATAGTGGCATTTGATTTTACAATGATTGATGAAGATCATTGCGTGTATATCAAAAGATCCAAAGATCAATTTGTGATTTTATCATTATATGTTGATGATATACTGATTGCCGGAAGCAATATGGACTTGGTTAATACTATTAAGAGTTGGTTATCGTCCAATTTTGAGATGAAAGATATGGGTGAGGCTGCATATATTCTTGGAGTTAAGATTTCAAGAGATCGTTCCAAGAGATTATTGTCTCTTTTGCAAGAGACTTATATAAATAAAGTTCTTGAACGATTTTGTATGCAAGACTGTAAACCCATGGATACTCCTATTGCAAAAGGTGAAGGATTGAGCCATAGGTTGTGTCCTAAGACTCCGCAAGAGAAGGAACAAATGAAACGTGTTCCTTATGCTAGTGCTATTGGAAGTTTAATGTACGCTATGATGTGTACAAGACCTGACATATGTTTTGCAGTTGGGATGGTAAGTAGGTACCAATCCAATCCAGGTCAAGCACATTGGAAAGCCGTAAAAAGAATCATGAGGTATCTAAAGGGTACTGCTAATTATTCACTAAGTTATCAAGGCAAGGATCTGCGACTTGAAGGCTACTCAGATGCTGATTGGGGAGGAGATTTAGATGAAAGGAAATTTACCTCTGGTTTTGTTTACTTACTGAATAATGGCGTCATATCTTGGAGCAGTAAGAAACAAACATGTATAGCATTGTCCACGATGGAAGCTGAGTTCATGGCGTTGTCAGGAGCAGTACAAGAAGGTGTTTGGCTTAAGAGATTGTTGGATCATTTAGGTGTTGCTAAGAATGCTGAAAACTCATTGTTAGTCAATAGTGATAGTCAAGCAGTGATAGCATACACCAAGGATCCGAAATATCATGGCAAGACCAAACATATAGATACCAAATATAACTTTATCAAGGATATGGTTGCACGAAAAGATGTGAACTTGCAGTACATATCTACGCATAGAGTGATAGCATATCCTATGACGAAGCCAATTCCAAGATATGTTTTCTATGGTCATGTAAAATCTCTGGGACTGCGTAGAAAGTGATGTACTGAATATTGTATTTTTCCCTGAGTGTTCACATTTAATGAAGTTGCTCTCTCATTATTAATGCCTATGAATTTATTTAATATTTATGCATCTTAATGCTTAGTGCATTATATCGAGAAAGTATGTCTGACAGATGAGATTAGCCCACTTACACGGGTAATCGCCTCTATTTACTGTGCGATAAATAGAGATGAGACAATGTTTAGGCTTATTATCTAGGTGATAATCGAGAGCTCAAGCTTAAAATAAAAATATTGCCTTAGCTAAGTGCCAAGATGAGGACATAACATTTACTATGTCCGAAAGTAAAATAACCCACATATTTTACTTTATCTGTCTTTGATGCCAGATGTGAGTTTTAATGGATTCTTTAGAGGAGTAGATACGTGAACTCAAGTTTAGACATTAGGTATGTCTGAACTATCATCTGTACGGTATTGAATGTAAGACATACGCTCCACGGGAAAGGAGTTAATACCGTAATACGTATTTCATACTACGTATGCATAAGACGACCGATAAGAGTGGCAAAAGTTTTTGATCTCAACTTTATGCCGTGTGAGACTCTTGAGAATATGAGTTTCTCATTTAGTGCCCTCGTGACTCTAACTTATTTTCAAAGTTTCTATTCAGTGTTCGCTATCTTAGGATGTTGCCAATGGTCATGAATGATTCGATCTAATGGGGCATTTCTAGAAAAGCGAGCTGGACTGAAATAGAGAGATTGAAGGAAAGAGGAAGATCAATTTATTATGATATCACATTCTATGTTTGTATTCACAGGTCGACCAATTATGATTTTAAGTAAATCATAGTTGTGAATACAATATACGAGATACTAAAAGAGATCAAAAGGGATATAAATATGACTGATTGATCTAGGGGACTGCATACTATATCTACTCGGAAAACGTTGTACCCAATTTTGAGCTGCTATGTATTCCTAACAGATGCATCGCAACGAGCTCTCGAAGTATGCTGGTCGCACGGATTATTTGCTAGTATGAATATTGCAAAGAAGAGAGAGTTAATGTTTAGCCCACCATGTGCGAGTGGGAGATGATGGATTTTCTTTTTGTTGTTGGGCCGCCCATGATGGGCTAACCCAGCCCATGAAAGAAAGTAACTGCACTTGGCAGTTATTGTCTAGAAACAAAAGTGAGAACACACGTAAGAGTGTGTGTGGGTTGCATTTTAATCATCAGAAAACTCATTCTCACTAAAGGACAAAGAAGAAGGAATTTTGTTCAACAATCTAAGGATTGTTATCTCTCTCGAGGCTGCGATAAGTGCATTTAATCTGTGGCAAAGAGGTATGTTCGTTTACGTGATATACTTCGAACGATCAGTGATTCAAGTATAGAATGGGCACGTTTTTCCGCAATTTTTGTATTATGTTTAGGAATCTGTTTCCTTCACATACGTTGCCTTAAGCATCGGAGGGCCAATCCAGGCTACAGAGCGGGCGCCGAAACTTGTGGTTGATTGGTGTGGGTCCAACTAGAGGTGGAGGTCTCGACAGATTCCTCGAGGCTGGATTGTGTATCAACATATACGAATAAATTAAAATTTATTATTGGATCCACTGTGAATGTGAAAAACATATTGCATATTCACTATAAATACAATTTTTTTTTTACCGTCCTACTCTAATTCTCAACTCACTCTCGGACTTTTACCTTGCCTCCTTACAGGGCGTAGGAGTCGAAATCCACACTTGAAATTCAACGTCTCCATCCCTAACCCCCCTTGAGAAGGTGGGTAATTGAACTCTCCACCCCTCCCCCTTTCTAAGTAGAAAGGGTGACCACCGGGGCAAATCCCAGTGGCTACCATTAATACAATCGACATGTCAATAAATTCGATTACAAGAACTATCTCTACATACACATGTTATTCGTCAAATAGTGCATCCGTCATAAATTCTTTACATGGACAGAGAACTTAAAAAAATTTCACCATTTTAGAAAAAGAAAATTGCTTCCGTGTGCACCGGTGAGATTTTACCGTGTGGACAATCTTAATCTGATCATTCTGAATAGTGCGTGTTGGAATTTTTTTTTTTCACCAGCGGAGGATATAATAGATACCCTAATTAAGTTTGTCAAACAGCTTCGGGAAAATGATATCAAAACAACTAATAGCAAACTTACAAGAGGGCTTGAAGCAATCAAGTTCATTTCTGCCTCCTTTTTATTGGATTTTGAATTTTCCTTCTGCGTGGAAATAAGCACGTGGTGGTCGTCCCTCGTCCGCGGGATTCATAAGAATGGACAAAGTCATTGCTGGGCTGCATGAACCTTCACTGTCCGCAGAGATGATGATCATCATCGATGATGCAACCTGCGTGTATCACCTGCATGGCGTCTGTGTCTGCTGCATTGACCCGTTTTTTGTTTACTATAAAGCCGATAGATTACCCAAAGAACGGGGGGAAAGAAGGGGGGGTATAGTACACGAAAATGACATTAAAAAACTCGGGTTGATTCAGCTATCCGGGGCTCGATTTGAAGGCGACAGCTTTCGTACTCAAATCAACTGCGAATTTCATTCGGAGTAAGTTCCGATGCCATGTGAAGAGGACAGCCTCCATGTGTATGTCGTGATTAGTCGGGTCGAAAGGTTCAGATAGTCATGAAAAGGCAAAAAGGAATCTAACTATTGAGTGGCTTCGCAAGCTTTTCTGTTTTCAAATAAAAGGAGAGCAGCCATGCAAATGGGGCCGGTCAAAGGTTCCATCTTTTTCTCCTTCCCTACCAAATTAGCCTTGATTCAAAGTTCACAATCCCACCGACTCAGCATCCACATAACCAAATCATTTGTGAAAAAGCTATTGTCTTTTTCACTCTCTCAGGCCTATAATGTCTCCATCCTCTCCTTCCTATAAGTATTGCAAGAACTGGGGAAGAAAAGATGCATACGATAATCACTATATAGAGAGAAAAGGCTATTTGGAAAGAGCTCAGCACTGATTGCCGGATTCTATGGCGGCGACCGTGGAGACCCCGGCGATCTCGGCACCGCCCTTTCAGCTACACAGCTCCCCCTCAATGGCCCATTCGCCACTCATCAGGTCTGCACCGAAGACACCCGCGAGGAGCCCTTTCGCAGCCCGGCTCATGATGACGCCCCTGGCAAGCCCCGTGAAGAAGGCCATGGCGAGCGTGCAAGGGTACTTGGAAGAGGTCGGGCACTTCACCAAGCTCGACCCGCAGGACGACTGGCTCCCCATCACGGAGTCCAGGAACGGCAACGTGTACTACTCGGCGTTCCACACGCTGAGCTCGGGGATCGGCGTCCAAGCCCTCGTTCTTCCCTTGGCCTTCTCCGTGCTCGGTTGGTAAGTTTGATCAGCCTCGACGTAGAAACTATCTAACCTACAGCCCACCTAACCAAACTGCGCGAAGCTCTGGTTGAATGTGCACTACACTACACTGAACCCTAGTTGGCTTCATCGTCCCAAAAGTGAAATCTATTGCTCTCTCCTAAGCTATGGGGGATTCAAGAAACAGCTGCTGATGCGTTTCTGGTGGTGCAGGACTTGGGGAACTGTCTGTCTGTCTGCGGTGTTCATGTGGCAGCTCTACACGCTCTGGTTGCTGGTTCAGCTTCACGAGTGCGAGGACGGGACACGCTACAGCAGATACCTCCGACTTTCCATGGCAGCTTTCGGTGAGTTATTAGAATATGCCTAGGTATATGTATTCACCTTTGTCTTATATCTAATTAGAACTATATAATTATAAATTTGATTATGAACCTGTGATTATATATGTGGTGAGGTTTGAAGGGTCTCCCAAGTCAACCTAAAAATGGAAAGATATGATCGGATTTCATGTGCATTCACATGCCCTATGGTTGGTTAGGTGTTGTCGTATGCTAAGTGAGTCATGTAAGATTCAGAAACTTAATCTGGAAGGCAAAGGCAAAAGGGCAAAAGAACAGTTACGTACAATGACCCGACTGAACGGTCAAATTCCTTTTATCGGACATGACTGAGGACTTATGGAGTCGCTAGATTCGAATCAGATATACTAGGCAATAGACTAAGGTGTCTATGATGAAGCACTATTGTAAAGTTACGAAAATTCACGATTTTAAGTACATTAACCATGTGCGTTAAAAAAAAACAAAGTAGAATAGCCATGTGAACTTAGTAGCGTGATAATCTTGTGGGGAAAATTACCAAAAAAATCTTAAACCTATTACAATTTTGTCAATTTAGTCCTAAACCTTTTTTTTTACAATTGAGTCTTAAGCCTTTTACATTTATACCAATTCAGTCTATCCGGTCAATTTTGGCCAGAAATCGCCAACATGAGTGCTAGTCGTCCTACGTGATGCTGCCGGCATTGACGTGAACATTTTTAAATAATATTTAATTTTGTTTCTTTTTTCATTTTTCTTTTCTTTTTTTCTTCTCTTTCTTTTTTTTTTCTTCCCTTTTTCTTCTAGTCGGCGAGGTCGACCTCGCTGGCCACTGATGAAACTCGACCTCGCCGTCGCCGGGCGAGGCTCGCCATCGCCGGGCTGGCAAGGTCAAGCCTCACTAGAGGCCGACGAGGGTGAGCCTCACCCAGCCATGGTGAGGCTCACCCTCGCCAGACCAGCACTAGCGAGCCTCACCAGGGGCAAGCGAGGCTCACCCTCACTAGTGGCCAGCGAGGGCGAGCTCGCCGGCTAGAGGAGGAAGGGAAGAAAAAAACGAAAAAGAAAAGAAAAAATAAGAAAATTCGAAAAGTTATTAAAATATTATTTAAAGATATCTACATCAGCCCTGGCTGCGCTGCATAAAACGGTTGCAATCCATATTGACGATTTCAGTCAAAATTGACCAGATAGACTGAATTAATATAAATGTAAAAGGTTTAGGATTCAATTGGCAAAAAAATATTTAGGACTGTATTAGCATAATGACAATAGATTTATGACTTTTGTGTTAATTCTCCCTAATCTTGTGCATCAAAGAATGATTTTTTTTCTTCTCTTTCATTGGTAACTAGAGTTGAATCAATATGTAAGAGAAAAGGATGATAGATTGAGGATAACATTAAAAAAGAAAAAGGGTTGTCATCATTTTAGTGGTGGAAATAAATAAGAGTAGTTATGTTTTTCTTAATGGAGCAAGTGGGTGCTTTGATGGTACCCAATATCTAATTTATGACTTTTTCTATTATTTGGTGTCTGGTGATTTGAAAGGAATATAAAGCGAGACGAAATGGTATTTTAATCTAATATATATAAAAGACATAAGTTGATCAGATTAGAGAAGATAGTCTAATGCCATATATGGGTAGGTCCAACCATAGGGATTGACTCTTAGTTTTCCTTGACTGATCGAGCTACAACTTTTGACCACTTTAGTACGTGAGCATGATCAACCAAAGCTTTAGATAATGCGTTTATGGATGGCAAAAGCCAAAGACAATGCTAAAGCCAATGATGCAATTGCAGGTGAAAAGAAGGGGAAGCTACTGGCCCTCTTCCCAATAATGTATCTCTCGGGGGGCACCTGCGTGGCCCTGATCATGATCGGTGGCGGGACCATGAAGATAATCTTCGAGATCCTATGTGGCGGCGCGTGCGGCATCAACCCGCCGTCCACCGTGGAGTGGTACCTTGTGTTCATCTGCTGCGCCATAATACTGGCCCAGCTACCCAACCTGAACTCGATAGCTGGAGTCTCGCTGATCGGGGCGGTCACGGCTATCGGGTACTGCACCTTGATCTGGGCGCTGTCCATCACCAAGAGCCGGCCTGCAGGCATCTCCTACGAGCCGCTGAAGACGGGGTCGGAGCTGGCTAGGGTTTGTGGCGTCCTGAACGCGATCGGTATAGTAGCTTTCGCGTTCAGAGGCCACAATGTCGTGCTGGAGATCCAGGTAAAAAGGGCCGTTCGTTCGAGAAAGTCCGTTGCTTATCGACTAAAGAACGCGTCATCTCATGAAGATGCGATATCACTAACGAATGTAACTGTTCCCCTTCGACTAAAGCATTTGCCCAAAATATGTTTTTCCCTTGCGTTGGATTGCAGGGGACTATGCCTTCAAGTAGACAAAAGCCATCTCGGCAGCCCATGTGGAAAGGGGTCAAATATGCATACCTGGCAATAGCAATGTGTCTGTTTCCCCTAGCAATTGGTGGCTATTGGGCCTACGGAAACTCGGTGAGAATCACACAAGAATCGATCTAGATTTCACGTTTCCTCAATGTCCTCACGAAAGGTTTACTTACTTTTTAAAGCACTGTTCAATGATCAGTCTCTCTTTGCTAACAGATCCCTGCAAATGAAGGCATCCTCAATGCTCTGTACAAGTACCACCTTCGCGACACGTCCAAGGTCATCCTTGTCTTAGCGAGCCTGCTCATCGTGATCAACAGCCTGAGCTCGTTCCAGATATACGCGATGCCGGTGTTCGACAACCTAGAATCTAGGTATACCTGCAGCAAGCGCAAACCATGTCCTCGGTGGCTGCGCACGTGCATCCGCATCTTCTTCGGATGCCTGGCTTTCTTCATATCGATCGCGTTGCCCTTCTTGCCGAGCCTGGCTGGACTGATAGGAGGAATCGCGTTGCCCATAACCTTGGCATACCCGTGCCTGATGTGGATTCTAATAAAGAAACCCGCTAAATACAGCGTGATGTGGTGTATAAACGGAGTTCTGGGGGTGTCGGGGATGGTGCTCAGTGTTCTCATAGTTGGGGCAGCCATTTGGAGCATAGTGACAATAGGAATAGAAGTCCACTTCTTCAAGCCGGAATAGAATTTTAACTGCAAGGTGGTACTCATATAGTGTAGAAACTACATAATGTGGAACCGTCGGGCCGTCGACTTGATGAAGGAAAGCACAAGTAGCAATGAAGAGGTAATCTCCTAAGCTAGTGCATGCAGAAGTCTACGCAGAACCTTTCGACATAACCATTGTCCATAAGATAATTACTATTCGGTAACCACGACTAGCGACTGATCATGTGTGGGAGCTGCAAGGGCAGCAGCAGAGTAAGCACGAGGAACAAAAGTACTGTATGATGTTGTGTAACTTGTGTTCATCCTTGTACAAAATTTATGTGGTACTTTCAGCGAGAGCTCTGCACGATCTTCGTTTTTGTATGCTTCTCAAGGTAGATAAAGCAAGCACCGACCATCTTACCCAGAAACAAAAAAAGCAAACACTGACCAGGGAATCTGATCAACATCTTTGCTTGGTAGCTTCCTTAAAGTTTGAGCGCCGACACAGGTGTCAATCATCTCATGTCAGATCCTAAAGCAAACAGCAATAGCATCGTGAGGCATACCGAGAGTAAAGCAATTCGGATACGTGTAAAGTATAGAGAAAGTGCTGAAAAAACTAAAATAGCTGACGAGCCCCCATAGACAAAGACCACTCCATCCATCCTGCATCAGTGAAGTCTTCCTGGCAGTTACCATAAAACTTAGCACGCAACATAAAAGTGCGAAAACAAAAAATTTGAGAAATGCACAATCAATTTGATTGAACTGCGTACGATTGCTTGCAAAAGAAAAGCTATAAACTATGGCATAGACGACAAGACTTTTGGGAAAAAATATGATCAAGAAGAAGAATGGAATTAGACTTTAACAGGTGATAACACTCTTTATAAGGAATTATTTGTCCCGCGACATTGCTAATGGTTACCGACAAAAATCTTTCGAGAATCAACAAAGTCTCAATGAGAATACCATATAGTAATTCTGGTATTTCTCCAATAACTCTAAACAAGAAACAATTTAGTAACAATGTTGTAGTTTTTTTATAGAAAGAAAAACCAACGAGACTTTTTTTATGAGACGAAAAATCGACGAATTTATATCAGTCTTTTAAACAAAAGAAACCCTTCGAGAAAGGTTGTAAAGTGAACAAACATGTTGAAAATTTGGATTAAAATAATATTTTTTTTAATTCCAAATTTTATAACTTCTGAAAAATAACGATTGAACAAATACAACATTTTAAAGATTAAGAAGTTATGTACGAACAAACACAATCTTCCAAAGGTTAATAAGTTATGTCCGAACATATACAACATTCCAAAGGTTATAAAAGCACATAATAACCGTTAGGCAAAAAAATAATAAAATTTAGAATTAAATAATAAAAAATAACCATAACTCTATTGCGAATAGTCATACTGTTTCAATAAAACACAAATCCGAATTTTATTAAATAAAAATAATAATAGTTGATTAGTACAAAATCTAGTCCACGTGCGGGCAAGCATGGAAAGTGCGCCAAATAATCGCACACCTATGAGTGTAATTTTAGGGTCCAGCCCTTAGTCCATCATCTTCATTTATAATAATAGAAGACATCCACACTTTTTTTGTTGTCTCACATATTCTCATTTATTCTATATGAGACAAGGCACTTCTAAGTTTGTTTTTCCAACAAGAACTACTTGTGCAATCAATCTTTTCAAGGGTTAACAAAAGCACCACTTTCCTTTAGGAGACAAAGCCATTGAATCATCTTAAGGTTGCATCCTTCATACAGCAACTCCTAACAGATCAATCCAGGCTATTTCCACAAGCATAGCAAGGCATAAAGTCAGCCAAATATCAATCCCAGCCGCATTATGGTGTCCGCAAGGGGATATGAGCAACCCTAGAGACCAGTAACCCCTCCTCTCCCAGTCCTGCATACTAAATGTCAGCACTGTCAGCATATGTTTGGGTCTGTCCAAGATTTGATCGTTCTATCTATCTGGTATTATAAAGGTGGAAACCCTTGCACGACAATTGTCGATGTTTTAGAGAGTTTTAACGTGATGAACTCATAGTCATTCTCACAAGAAGAGCAAGACATCTTCTCCATAGTCTTTCTAGTGGGTGTAGTGTGATCACGTATTATTTATCACATGTGGCATCTTGCCATACCTTTTGTTCTGCTCCTTCTAGGCTATCTTACAATAGATCTGTCGAAATGGGTCATAAACCCATTTTTCAACTCATATATAATGGGTTGAGTTATTTTATGCGTTAGTCATATTCAATAAATCAGTTTAAAATGGTAAAGCCCAACATAATATGCGTTTACAACTTACATAAACCCAGCACATCTCTTTGACTCTCTCTTCATTCTCTATCGCCCTTGCCCAATCTCACGTTCGCTCACTCCATACTCCCACCTCAGTTTGAATGTGAGTTTTCATATATTTGGTTAAATATTGAATTATTTTAGCAATATGGGTCGGGTCGGGTATAGGTCATTAGATTTGCATTACAAGGAAATAAATCAAAACGAGTTAAATTGGTCTATTTTGGTCGGATCATCTTCGACCCCAACTGATCTACCCATTTGGCGGGTCTACCCTACAGCATCGCTCGGATTTTAACTCGCTTCTAACTCGATACACGTTGTCAATAGGGTACCTCGTTTCATGGGCCTCGCATTTATCCGGTTTAAGTTGAGATTTCCCATTACAAGAGGAGAGGAACGAAAGTCATTTCACCCGTTCAGACGCCTCCACTCATCGCACATCAGAGCCCAACCACCTGATATTAGATCGAACAACTTGACAACACAACTTGGGTCGGGAAGAAAACTGGTCGGCCTTGATGTTTCAAGCTGGACCGGTGGAGCGGACCGGGGCCCGTGATCTCAGGACCCGGTCCAAGCGAGAGAGATACGGATACCCGAAAATGCCGACAGAACGCACGCACGTGCAGCTGTCAGCTCGATTATAAGACGAAGAGCCCCGTACGTTGCGAATTGAGAGGGGCGTGCCGCTGAATCCGGCGGCCATGAAGTTGTTTGGCTTTCTTTTGCATCTTCGTGCATCGCGAAAGCGGGAGCATTGGCGACACTCCACCGACCATCTGTCCACGGAGTCCGCCCGAAGCAACGTATCCTTAGAAAGCGAGGATCTCAATCAATCCACCCCAAGCGCAAAAAAAAAACCCGAAAGGATTTTTTTTTTTTTGGGTAAGAGTAGTTTGGCAGTGTTTTAACTAGCTTTCGCGCATTTTGAGTCGACCGGTTCACGACCATTTGGGCACTAAGCTTGTCCTAAATAACGTATCCTTTAAAAAGTGATGATCTCAATTAATCTATCCAATGCAATAAGAATAGTTCGGTAGTAGTTGAACTAGCTTTCATGCATTTCGACTAGACTCAATTCGCGACCATCGGGCTGCTGAGCTTGCCCGAAGTAATGTATCATTTAGAAAGCAATGATCTCAATCAATCCATCTGACACGACAAAAAAAAAAAGGTGCTCGAGAGGATCTTTTTTGTATAATAATAGTTCGGAGGCGTTCTGACTATCTTTTGCACACAGTGACTCACCCGATTCACGTTATCAGGCATTCTTAGAGGTGCACTTCTCCCGTGTGGTGGGATCTGATGCATTCGGATTTTTACTCGTGGGGTTCTCTTGACGAAGCTTTAATTCAAGATCACAAAAATGGGGGGCGAAATAGAAAAGGAGAGAATAGGACCTAATCAAATCCTTAAACCGGTTCATCCTAGGTCATATCCAGATCTCGAGATGGGGGAATTGGATGCAGCGCGTCCGGACACCGGCACTTTAAAATAAGAAGGAGCGCATCCATGGAGCCCACCGTCACTGCAACGAAGACGGACAAATTGCGGAAGAGAAGGAGAGAGTACTCATTAACTTAGCCCATCAATATCCCATGCCCTATGCAAGGTGGACATTTTCATCAATGAGAGGGCCACAACTTGAGAGTGCACCTACCGGTCGCGGATCTCGAAGCTCTCCCCTCTCTCCCTTGGCCATCTAATTCCAATGTCGATGGCTCACAGATCAATCCCTTTTGTGTATTTGATTTTTGCAGGAAATAGATCATCTTTGAGTTGCCTTGTTTCTCGATTTTGTTAGTATCGGTAAGCTCGATCTCGACTTGTTAACATACTCGAGTAGTTGGAGCTCAAGCTCGACTCAAAATTAGGCGAATCGATCTCTAGTAATCCTCATCCCGAGCTAAAGTTAAACTTGACTCAAAGGTTCCCCTATTCGAAATCCAGTTGAATTAAAATGAAATCATCGCTTTTGGTTCTCATAGAGTTTAATTTTGGATAAAGACGTAACAAGTGTCATAACTTTTATTCGGTACTCACTTAACTGTTATAATTTATTTTTCGATCACTTGAATATCATAACCTGAAAAACGAAACACGTAGGAGTAGTGTCAACACTAATCCACTGATTCATATGGGTTACGCGCATCAATTTCGTACCTCGCGAGTCGAACACGAATGCAACACAACTGTTAATCGTGTCTTGACCGACATGGCTAGACTTGATACGACCCCGTTACGATCGTGCTAAATAACGACGTCGTGTCGGGATTTGTCACCTCTAGTATAAACCCTCGTTCGAAAAGATCATAGAAGCGCCCGCCACAAGCAATTGAAGAGGGAGAAGAAAGCATCCGTGACCGGCCACGTGGCGCCGTACCTCGCCCTGTGGGCCCCCACACCTACCTTCCGCAATTATCCTGCCAAGAGGCCGACACTTGCGCGCGCGGGCCCCCGACCGACCGAAGGACATCCACTCCACGACGGCCGTCCACGTGTCGCGTTCCTAGTGGTTAGACAGCCCCCCGCCCCCCGCCTTCTTTTCTCTATATTTTCTTCAAATTTTTCCCCCGGTTTGACTGTGCCTTTCCAGCTCCCCACTTGCGTACGCCGCAAGCTCGCACGCGACACGAAAGCAAGGCGCCCGTTCTGAAAAGCGCCGAAGGTACAGGTGTCGAGCGGTGCGAGCGAGTCCGTCACTCGGCGCGTCGCGCTGCCCCTATCCTTGGGTTGGCCACGCCTTTTGTTTGAATGCACACGTCGGTTACAGAAGCGGGACCGGATTGTCCGGTTTCGCCGGTCCCAGGGTGGGCCCACCTTGATGTCTTTAGAATTCCTTCATCCTTAGTCGCGTCATCTCCGCGTCGGTTCGATGCTATAAAACCCTCGCTCCGGCTTCTCACCTTAAGCATCACACAGAGGAAAACACCATCGAGAACACCCAGAAAAGCTCCGACAGATACGCCTGTGTCTCTTGCTTTGTTCACGTTACGCACGTTGCTCGAAGATCGCCGGTCGTTGATCGCAGCGCTTGTGTGTGTGTTTGAGTATGGATCACGAGAGCAAGACCACCACCACCCACGAGTGCGAGACGCCGGTCGTCCAGGAAGGGCCGGTGGAGACCCATGACCGAGGGCTGTTCGACTTCATGAGGAAGAAGGAGGACGAGGGAGCGATGAAGCAAGAGGAGGTGGTGATGGCGGCGGAGTTCGAGGAGAAGGTGAAGGTCGAAGAGTGCGTGGAGAAAGAGGATAAGGAGAAGGAGAAGGAGAAGAAGCATGGCGGCCTCTTGGAGAAACTCCACCGATCTGATAGCAGCAGCTCTAGCTCTGTAAGTTGCCCCACCCTTCTCTCTCTCTCTCTCTGGGTCTTCTTGTATTGGATTAGTTTTGGCTTGTTTCTCGATCATGATCGTGCGTGAACAGATGGGTATTTTGCGATGATCATGGACATAGAGTCCGCTCCGATAAAAGTGATGTTTTCCGTGTGGAGTCATAAATAGTCACCAACCGTGTGTTGAATATGATATGTGCAGTCCGACGAAGAGGAAGGTGAGGGAGAGGAAAAGAAGAAAAAGAAGAAGGAGAAGAAAGACAAGAAGAAGAAGGAAGAAGAGGAAGAGAAGAAGCACGAGGAGGACACGACCGTCCCCGTGGAGAAGTGCGACGAGCCGGGTGTGCCGGCGGAGGAAAAGAAGGGCTTCCTCGATAAGCTGAAGGAGAAACTGCCTGGAGGTCAGAAGAAGGCCGACGAGGCCTCTTCCCCGCCGCCGCCGCCACCGCCGCCTTCAGCGGAGTGTCCGCCGGTGGAGCCGCCATGCCAGGACGGATCTCCCAAGGAGAAGAAGGGATTGCTGGAGAAGATCAAGGAAAAGCTGCCCGGGTACCATCCCAAGAGCGACGAGGAAAAGGAAAAGGAGTGCCACTGAGGGGGAGAAAAGAAAGAGAGAGAGGACCGCCCTTTGCTCTTTTGTTAAAGTTTTACGTGTGGTTTTGTTTTCCTATGGTGGTTGTTTTGATTTGATGTTATAATTTCCATTTTCATGTGAAAAGGAAAAAAAAAAGAGCGAGGAAGAAGTGTGAGAGTATATTGTATATAAGTGCTTTTACGTGCTTATTTATATATATATCTGCTTTGTCGCTACTAGTGTTTTGTTAATGAAGTAATTTGCTGTTCTTGATTAAACTTACGTTTAGGCCCACATATCAGATGGCTTGATTAGTGCGATGGTCACTTTCTCCTTATCTTCTTGCTGAAGCTGGGGTGAGAGAGAAGAGAAAAAGCTAAGCGTGATCTCATGTCGGCATTGAATATAGTTTTCGCTTTAATGGAGAGAGAGAGTAAATAGTTTCTTTATTGACTTGCATGCAAGGAATGATGCTTTGTAACCCCACTTGGCAGGGCACTTTGAAAGCCCGCCTGGATGTTTCCTTAACGCATGAAAACGAAGGTCTCGAACTAGTGAGTAGGAATCATGGAAGGGTCTAGGAGGAGTTCGAGTGCCATTCCAACCAGATGACCCAAGACAGCCTAAGACTGCCACCTCTCCACATGATGATGGGTGGCAATTTCATCTGATCTGGGGAAATCTTGGGCTGATCGACTCGAAGCAATGGACAGAAGATTGTAATGACCAGATTACGTGGGGTTCATTCTGTAGTTAGATAACAACCCCACGTAGAAGCCGTAGATATATCTAGAATGAAGGGCAAAACGAGGACTTCCTTTTGTTGAAGGAATGCACACACATCTATATCAATGAAAGAGTGATGTAGACCACTGATAATCCTCCTCACTAGTCAGCCGTCTGTGAGTAATTGTCAATGAACTTATAAAATTTCTCGAGTCTAATCTAGACTTGATGCTTCTCGATGATGTTAGAGATTTCCAATTTTAGTTTTATGAGGATTTTCCTCTTTCCTTTCCTACGTGTCTATGATCGTTGATGGACGGTCTCAATGTTTTGTGGTCGATCGATTGGCATTTTCTTGTGGAGGGTTAGATACTTCTAATTCTAATCAATCAAGTCCTAAACTTATCGTCGGTAGAGTTATTGCCGACATAAATCAAGTTGCAAGATTTGCCATTGCGCTTGCCCCTCTATGCATTCATCAATGATCAAGCAAACGGAGAATGGCCTATGGGCCGCATCCATTACCCATGCGCAAAATTTGGGCACTTGTTCTCGTTCGATTTTGCTATCCACAAGGCCAACACGTGTGCTACAAACTCTATATAGAGAAGGATCAATGCATTATATCCATATTCGACACTATAACAACGTAGTCTTTGGTGTTATGTAGGGTGCGTTTGTTTCGGTGAAATTATTTTTCGAGAAAGTGTTTTCCAAATTTTTATCTGTTTGGTTGTCCAAAAATAATTTGGTCAACTGAAAACACCTTCTGATCAAAGAAATCATTCATGTATAAATTTAGAAAAGTGAATTCCCTATTTAAGAAGATGAAAACACTTTTCGGAATTGATTATCTTAAATTTGTTAATATTTTATTCTTTTTTCTTTTTTCTTTTTTTTTTCCTTTTCTTTTCTTTCTTTTCTTTTTGTTTTTTTTCTTTTCTTTTTTCTTTTTCCTTCTTCCTCCCTCTGCCGGCCACCGGCCTTGGCGGCGGCCAGCGACCGGCCACAACCGCAGGCCGGCAACGGCGGGCCTCAGGTGAGTCCGAGCTCGCCAGATCGAGGTCAGGCCTCGTGCGACGCCGGCGAGCTTGAGCTTGCCAGATCCCGGCGAGACTCTACCTCGCCGGGATCTGGCAAGCTCAAGCTCGCCGGCGTCGCACGAGGCCTGACCTCACCGCCTCCACCTCGCCTGGACCTCACCGCCTCCACCTTGCCTCGACCTCGCCTGAGGCCAGCGAGATCATCGGCCTCGGTTGAGCCCCAGCTCGCCTGGGGCCGTCGACAGCCTGTTGCGGCGGAGGAAGGAGGAGAAAGAAAAGGAAAGCAAAGGAAAAAGAAAAGGAAAGAGAAGAAAAAAGAAAAAAAGAATTAAAAATTCAAATTTTTTAAAAAGAAATTAAAAATTCGATTTTGTTTAAAATAAAAATAATTGAAAAATTCAATTTTTTTTTTGCCTGAGATAAAGTTAGGAGATTGAAATTATTTTTCAATAAAACCCAAACGTCAGAAAACGATTTTGATTACATATCACCAAACGAAGAAAAACTAAACGTTTTTCTAGAAAATGCTTTCCAAAAAATCATTTTCCATTATCATTGAGTTTTCCGCGAAACGAACGCACCCGTAATTTAGATTGTGACTGACATGGTGAATAACACCGATCATAAATGAAAACAACATTATGTGCAATCCAATCTATGTACTTTCTCGATAAATCAAGTGCGACACCTCTATGCACTTAATGAAAGTAAAGCAGACCATCAACTTACCACATGTACCAAACGGCGATGCTTTCGGCTACTGGACTCTCACCATCTAAAGGTGCAGCACTCCATCGTTTTGCCCATACAGCACGACGCTCGGATTGCTCTTCCATTGCTCTCCCACAAGCCCGTTTCACGGTTTAAGACAATTTTGACAAATAATACACGGATATCACCCGACAATCGCTGTTACCTAGATTATAGTTGCTTGCAACTCGCGGGCTAATTGTGTTTCGATTGCGTGATCACGAATATTCCGCACCAATAAATGGACAAGAGAATCGCATTGTCAATCCCTCCAAGCCGAGCAACCCAAAGACGAGACTCTCTCTTGTGCCAAGTTTCCCAATAATTAAGTCACAAATCACTCCCCAAATCAACTTGATTAGGACACATCCTCTTGACGGCTCGGTCACTACAAATGAAGAACGACATACAAAGCTGAAACTATACACTAAATCCTAAGCATTTGCGCCCCTTACGACGTATTTAAGTCGGGAAAAGTGCCAAAAAAGTCCCAAACCTTTTGCATTTGTGTCAATTCAGTCATAAACCTTTTACATTGGTGCCAATTTAGTCCTAAACTTTTTTTTTGTACCAATTCAGTCCTAAATTTTTTGCATTTATGCTAATTCAGTCATAAACCTTTTGTTGTTATGCCAATTCAGTCCTTCCGACCAATTTTAGCCAAATTTTGCTGACGTGGACGCCGGCTGGCCGGCGATCGATCATCGGCGCTGATGTGGACAACTTTAATAATATTTTAATATTTTTTTATTTTTTTATTTTTTTTCCCCCTCCCCTCCCTCCTTCCTCCAGCCGGTCGCCAGACTGACGATCGGCGAGGTTCGCCCTCACCGGCCATTGGCGAGGCTCGCCTTCGCCAGCGACGGCGAAGGCGAGCCTCGCCGGCAGCTAGGCGAGGCCTGACCTTGCTGACGGCTAGGCGAGGCCCAACCTCGCCGGATCTAGCGAGGTCGGGCCTCGCCCAGCGCGAGGCCGCCCTCGCCAGTGGCCGATCACCGGTCCGGCGACCGGCTGGAGGAAGGAGGAAGGGGAGGGGGAAAAATATAAAAATAAAAATTTGAAAAAATATTAAAATATTATTAAAGTTGTCCACGTCAGCGTCGGTGACCGGCTGCCGATCAGTCAGTGTTCATATCAGCAAAATCCGGCCAAAATTGGCCGAAAAGACTGAATTGGCACAAAAATAAAAGGTTTATGACTGAATTGGCATCAATATAAAAAGTTTAAGACTGAATTGGCACCAATGCAAAAGGTTTAGGACTGAATTGATACCAAAAAAAGGTTTAGGACTAAATTGGCACCAATGCAAAAGGTTTAGGACTTCTTTGGCACTTTTCCCTAGTTTAGTCCCTCAATGACCATTTGATCAATAACGAATGTGGACACTTTGTAAACGATGGGCAAAGCAAGACACAAACTAGCCGTTGGATGGTCTTTAGAGGATCATCTTCCAATCTTCATCTTGGACAAATTTGTATAGAAATGATTGAGTAGCCGTTGAATGATAAAATCAGAATCTCGCTAAATCTGATTGCCCATACAACCAGAGATTTGGCTTTCATAAGTAGAGCTTCTCCAATTTAGAAATAAACTTGTCGTGGGCTTTGATTGTCAATCAATTTAGGATAACTTGCTATATAAATATTCATTGCAAAATAGCCTTTTAAGATCGAATCAATCGATTCTTTCCATTGATGAAATCTAAACCAGATCACTAGCTGTTGTTTACGTTCCGAGTAAGCGATACAATCTGGATAAGGTCCTTGTACTCAAAACTTGACATTATGGGGGTTTGTTTGGTAGATTCTGAATATATTGATTCCAGTATCTATAAACTGAGGTACTCCAACTTCTTTGTATGAAGTCTATACTCTGTCTTTTGCGGTGTAGAACTTGGATTTCTTCTTAAAGTCTGGATTTCCATAATGTAATTGCCTGGACTTAGAACATTTCAAAAGCATATGTTAGACTTTACTTATGGATGGTTTTGTCATCATCAAAATCTATTAGAAAGTTTTCTCAACAGTTCATTGCGGTGGAGAGCTCAGATGGGTCAAGGTTTGCCTCTGTCAATCTCGACGCTGGGCTGGCTTCTCAGCTCATCACCATTAAGGTTCTCGAAAGGCTTAGATTAGGGTTGGTCTATCTGGTCGAGTCTATCTTGATTGATTCATAATCAGGCACGTTGTGTGGATTTTGACTATACTTAAATGTAACAATATGCCTGATTGTTGCGTACATTCGACGTAACATTTGATAATTTCTCGATTCTAATACGTGAGCAAGCTCCTTTTTTTCCAAATTGTTGCAGGTTTGGAGATTTGTACACCGAAGAAAATGTGGCAATCAGTGGCATACACACTCATGCAGGTCCTGGAGGTTACTTGCAGTACATGCTCTACAGTGTGACCTCTCTCGGATTCGTCCAACAATCCTTTGACGCCGTCGTCAACGCCGTTGAGCAAAGCATCGTCCAAGCTCACAATAACCTGAAACCCGGTTCAGTGTTCATCAACCAAGGTGCATGACTCTGTATATGCATGCTCACTCAACCTGCTAGGAAAAATTGCAATGACAGCGTTTGCGTTTTCTTAGGGGATGTGAATAATGCCGGTATAAACAGGAGCCCGAGTGCGTATTTACTGAATCTGCCTGACAAGAGAGCTCGATATACGACCAATGTCAACACGCAAATGACACTCCCGAAGTTCATCGACACCATGAGCGGAAAAGGCATCGGAGCATTCAATTGGTTCCCGACACACGGGACATCCATGAACCGAGACACCCTGCTCATCAGTGGGGACAACAAAGGAGCTGCCATGAGGTTTTTCGAGGATTGGTTCGCCTCGACAGTCGATGGGAAATCCGTCAATGGATCTGGTGAGCTCATTTCCATAGCATTAGAGTTGTCAAATATATCGGAACAGAACGCCTTTATCAATTATCTTAAGCTTTGAAACAGATTTTCAGCGAATGCACAACTAATGACTTTGCAACAATGACGATCATGAGTCTTTACTAAACTACTAATTGATCCAAATGTTAAGGGCATAGTGCCTTTTTCCCCCCCTTTTTTTTTGTGAGATAAGGCGTGGACAGCTCCTCGTCGTCGGAGATGGCGGAATCAATCGGAGCAACCGGAGGTACACCCTGTAGTAAAACAAGTAGCCAGAGCTCCAAGGTGCGGAAAAACGACGGCCCGTTGTTTGTGGGAGCGTTTTGTCAATCCAACGTCGGAGATGTGTCCCCCAATGTGCTCGGCGGGTTTTGCACCGATACGGGGGAACCTTGTGATTTCAATCGCTCCTCATGCAATGGCGACGATACGCTCTGCGTGGGACGGGGACCTGGGTATTGATTTGATACTTCTTACTTGTAGAAAATTAATACGGAAGTATTTTTACATATTGTAAGCACTCTTGGTGGAAAGGACATTCTCCATGAACAGCCTTAATCAGCATTAGCGTGTTGGTTTGTCATCTGAGTACAAGAAGTCGGATTCAAACTGATACAAGGCTCATGCTCTTGTGCTGCAGATACCCGGACAAGATACTGAGCACCAAGATCATCGGACAGAGGTAGTTTCAAACAGCCATTCAGTTGTTCAATTCTGCCGAGGAAGAACTAATGGGGAAGATAGATTATCGACAAGCATATCTAAATTTCTCGGACATCGAAGTGGAGTTAGAAGGAAACCAGGTGGTGAAAACATGCCCCGCATGCCCTCGGCGTAGGTTTTGCCGCTGGAACCACCGATGGCCCTGGCCAGTTCGGCTTCCAGCAAGGCGATACTGTTAAATTATGTCTCGAGTTTGAGCCCGTATATGAGATCCGATACACACGTAGATCATTTATTGCTCAAAGTCTCGAGCAAAATTGACAATCAAGAAGCAAAGCATGAACGTCCTCTGCACATGCCTATATTTGTCAAAGATGTGCACGTCTTTCAAGTCCATCAATTTCCCACTTCTTTAAATGCATGCACATGTGCCTGCATGTCCCATAAATGGACGTTGAAGATGAAGGCAAAAGTAAAAGTTGTGGGCTTGTTTTGTCTTTGTTCATTGACTTCCTTTGGTCTCTTTTCTCTGTTAGTTCATTCAGTCGAGACCGACAAAAGGAATGAACAATGAAGCTTCCATGTGGGCATTGATTGAAGGAGCTGAACGTCGATGGACAAGATCTGTGAAGACGGCGACCCACCCCATCTTATGATTATCTTCAAAGATTATGGGCGCATTCTTGACTTTCTTCTCTCTTGAAATTGCTCCCCGCTTCTATAAAAGCAAGAGACGGAAGAAGAGAGAAAGACAGACTCCAGAGAGCTCCACAGACGAAACGAAGGAGAGAGCTCTCCAGAGACGGAGAGATTTGTGCCGAGAGTGAGATCATCGAGTTGAGTTATTAAACATTATGAGTATTGGGCATCTACTAGGGCTGCGAAACACTCGAGTGTGTGGGTAATTGTAACCCTGTAATTCTTCAATTTATTAGTGGATTATTTGCTGGTTCTGCCCGTGGACGTAGGTTCCGACATTCGGACCGAACCACGTGAATTTCTCGTATCCTTTTATTGTTCCTCGTTTTATTTCTCTATCAAATTTCTACGGCTCCCGATTTAATTGCAAAGTTACAATCCGCTTCCGCCGCGTCGTCGATTATACAACAGATACAGAGGTCAGTAACTTCCCACTTCCTCCATGTCGACATCGACCGTCTTGAATCGTGCAATGAAGTTTGATTCATTTCACTGGAATGTCCTGCTCCAATGATCACAGATCAACCCCTTTTGGAAGCTTATGAGGGATTTCCTGAAAGAACCAAGCAAGTATCAGGAAGATTGCCAGCAGCCAAAGCCGGTGTTACTCAGCACAGGCGAAATGTTCCTTCCTTATGCTTGGGCGGTAGGAGTCTCTAACCAAACTTCATGACATACTATCTATGCACATCCATTTATTTGTAGAGTGGCTTATCTAACTTGCCACTAGACATGAACCTGCCAAAGAAGTCTCCGAACTTAACACGCTCCATCAAAATATAAAAACCATGAGCTCTACTGAAAAGGACATGATAACAGGGATCATATCTCTTCGGAAACATGCTTTAAAAGGACAGATACAAGTTTGTCTGTTATGATGACATTACTTTCGCCTTTATGACAATCACATAGACATGATCCAATGCCTAAGCGCTACTCTTTCTACTGCAATGCAGCCAGCTATTCTTCCAATTCAAATGCTGAGATTAGGACAACTTATCATTCTCTCTGTACCAGGAGGTTCGTTTCTCTCTAATACCATCAGAGGATCTTAATTTCTTGTCATAGCAATGGTTTCCTTAGAAAGAGTCCATTGTTCCATCCATTGGAACTGTCATAACTTAATATGTGTCTGCAACTCTGTACCTAAATTAGAATCAGAATCTCAAGACCCACATATAATGACTACAAAGGAAACTCCGTAAGTAACTCGGCAACTGGTCGACCTAACACTATTTTATGGCTCAAGCTGGATGACAGTCCCTATAATTCATAACGTTAGCCAACACAAGCAGTTCTGTTCTCTATGTGTCTACTAACTAAAATCGGAATGTAAATACTTTTCCAGATCTGAGTAAGATAGAGTATCTTTCGCTCCGATGACATGATATAAATAACCACACAATTGGAGTGACTAGTGAACCCATATATGTCAGTATGCAGAAACTTTCGCACAATTAGATTCAAGAATTGAAGCACGGCCTTTAGGTATGCATTCCAGAGTTGATTAAGGATGTCCCGACAAAAATTGCGAGACTCAGAGAGAGCTAACTGTATCAGAATAAGTCGTACGGCTGTATGGAAACCTTGAGCACCTTACAGCAACATGTGCCCTAGAAGCAACTTAAACATCTAGGCTTAGTTTTCCAAAGCTCTTTGAATTCGTAGAATTCACAACGATGGCTGGCCGGCGACTAAGGGAGGCAGTTAAGGAGACATTAATACTGAATGGAGAAGGAAAATTCGGGGAGGATCCCCAGGTTGTAATTGCAGGACTGACAAACGCTTATTCACAGTATGTGGCAACCTTTGAAGAGTACAGCCAACAACGATATGAGGTATTTCCTATGCAGACTATAGAAGCAAATCAGCATCAAACCCAGAACAAAATGCAACACTCATAGTTGCTTTTTCTTACCGTCGACTGGGATACATTAGGAGGAAAAAATGGTCGAATTCCAGTCTTCTAATTGGTCCAAATAGGATATTTTGCTCGTATCACAAAAGATCATTTTTCCTTCAAAAATTTTGCATCGTTCATAATACTATGGGATCATTATCTAGTGTTTGACAAGCTGAATAGATTAAAGTTGGGGCCAAGAAGCACATCTGCACAGAATAAGGATGAGACTCAATTCAAGGCACATATGAGCAGATTAAGGTTGATAAGTTATGTTTGGCAGGCTGCATCTACGCTCTACGGTCCTCACACGTTATCAGCCTATATCCAAGAATTTAAGAAATTATCTAAAGAAATGGCGACAGGAGAATCGATTCCTCTAGGAGGTCCATCACCACCCGACCTTTACGATGTACAGATCGGCCTCTTGCCTTCTCCTTTGGGCGACTCTCCTCCTTTTGGACTTAATTTTGGTGACATGAAAGAAGACATCTCCCTACCAGAAAGCAGAGCGTTTAAAATTGGAGAAAGAGTGAACGCCACATTTTGGAGCGCAAACCCGAGATATGACTTGTCAAAGGAAGGCACGTTTACGGTTGTAGAAAGGCTGGAGGGGGAACGGGGGATCCCGGCATACGATGACGATGACTTCTGCTTGTATTTCAGGTGAGATTCGGGCTTCGACGGATTGTATGGTTCAGCAACCATTGAATGGGAAGTTCCACAGGAGGCCAAGCCCTGGATTTACCGCCTGAGGCACTATGGTTCCTATAAGACGACACTATTCTCTCGCGTCGGCTACTGGTGCATCCAGTGCATTTAAGGTGTCATAAAACTGCAGGCCAGTGATATGTGATATACACTGCAGGAATCATCAGGAGGTCATAATGGAAACTTCAGGCTTCAGGGAATTCATACCCACAGAATATTGCGGCTCGTGCATGTTCACGTGTGTCTCGGCATGAATTCGAGAGAGAGAGAGAGAGAGAGAGAGAGAGAGAGAGAGAGAGAGAGAGAGAGAGAGAGCTTTCTGCAACAAGCATAAGCCTCTAGAAGCAACCAAACAACACACTCAAAGCAATAGTCTGTTCCCTTGCAGTTGTCTCCTTAATGGCTCGCTCCATTAGCCATTGTAATAACAAAAGAAGCATTTTCCGACTACAATTTTATCAGATGATCACATTGACCAACACTTGGAAAGTCGAGATACTTGATTGAAAAAAAAAAGTTTGGTACTCGATTGTAAAACGAACAAAAATTCAAGTACTTGCGATGTCATTACCTCCAATTCTGACAAAGGCTGCCCAGCCGGTCCATGTGCTCCTTAATTAGTATTGCTAAAGTATCCCATGTCCCTTGTCTACGGGCTTTATATACTATCTATATCTATATCCATGTGGTCTCCCTTCATCCATAAGCTTTTCCCCTTGGCTCTTCATGTGTCGAGCACGTGAGAGGGGTGTTCAATATCTCGCGTCGCCTAAAAAATGAATAATATAGCCAAATGCAAACACCCTTCTTCTTCTTCTTTTTTTCTTTTGTCTGTTGCAATTGCGGGCTGATATTCGACCATCATCATAAATCCGCACAATAAATGGACAAGGCATTGCATTGTCAATCTCTCCGAACAGATCGAGCAATCCAAAGATTCTCTTGTGCCAACTATCCCAAAACTTCCTTCTCATTAATCCAAAAATAAAATAACACATGAAATCACGACATCATTCTCTCAACATTATTATATAATAACATCATCTTACATCCCAGTCGCTACAATGTAAGAACTTACAACGCCAATCTCCTAGGAATCCTAGGCCATTGAGCAACAATCTTAATCCCACATGAAAGCTAGACGGTGAAGAGGATGAGCAACAAAGGGCACAGGTGTTTGCTTCTTCTCTCTTCGCTCGCGCTTGTAGTTTCAGGAGTCGTAGATGGGGAGTACCTGGTCGGAGTCGGGAGCTACGACTCGACGGGACCGGCCGCCGATGTGAACATGATGGGCTACGGGAACATGCAGCAGAACACGGCGGGGATTCACTTCCGGTTGAGAGCAAGGGCATTTGTCGTGGCAGAAAGTCCGCACGGGACGAGGTTCGCCTTTGTCAATCTCGACGCGGGGATGGCTTCGCAGCTCGTCACTATTAAGGTTCTCGAAAGGCTAAGATCGAGGTAAGAGGAGAGAGTTTGCGAAGGAGTCATTGCCTGGACTTAGTCTAGACTGTCTAGTAGATTGATATTCCAATTACAGTTGCTGAGTATTTTAATATCGTAATAGGTTTTTATCTTAGCGAACACATTTTTTTTTTCATTTCCAACTTGTTGAAAGGTTTGGAGATATGTACACCGAAGAGAATGTTGCAATCAGTGGCACACACACTCACGCTGGTCCTGGAGGTTACTTGCAGTACGTGCTCTACATCGTGACCTCCCTCGGATTCGTCAAACAATCATTTGACGCCATCGTTGACGCCGTCGAGCAAAGCATCGTCCAAGCTCATAACCACCTCAAGCCTGGTTCAATATTCATTAACCAAGGTACGTAGCTCAATATGGGTGGCATTTTGTTGATCGACGAATCATGCCCGCGATCCTGATATGATCTATTTTTTATAGGGGATGTGGATAATGCGGGCATAAGTCGGAGCCCGAGCGCGTACTTGCTCAATCCAGCCGAGGAGAGAGCTCGATACCCGACCAACGTCGACACGCAAATGACACTGTCGAAGTTTGTCGACGGCGAGAGCAGGGAAAGCATCGGAGCGTTCAATTGGTTTGCGACGCATGGGACATCCATGAGCCGAGACAACCTGCTCATCAGCGGAGACAACAAAGGAGCCGCCGCCAGGTTCTTTGAGGACTGGTACCGGTCTGCTTCGGGGAAGGGGAAACCGGTTAACCGATCTAGTAAGCTCACTTTCTTTTCCAGGATCGCGCCTTTATATAAGCTTTTCAAGGGATTTTTTGGTTTCATTGGGTTAATTGCTGAATCATTCATTAATGTTTTAAAAAATGTGTAATCAAGTCTGTGCTCGCCATCGATGGATTTCCGAGATTGGAAATCTTACATATCTCTGAGGTTCAGGGCCACAGGGCATTTAAAAAGGGTTCCGTGCAAGACACGACAGATCAACAGCATCAGGAACCCTACGACGGCAAGATGAAGCCCTGGTTGCGCATTTTTTCTAATGTTAGATGACTCAATAGACCGAGGCTAAACGTTCATGGTCGATTTTGCACTCCTAGTAACATTGTGTAATTAGACACTTGGCAATAGTGATGATCACGAGTTCTTATAACTAATGTAATGTCTGTCGTTACAGTTTTTTTCTGTTTGTGTTGTTCGTGAGATTAGACATAGATGGTTCGTCGTCGGTCGAGAAGGCACAAACTATAGGCCCAACCGGAGGGAAGCCTTGCAGCAAAATGAGCAGCCGGAGTTCCAAGGTGAGGATAAACGATGGCTCCTTGTTCGTGGCTGCGTTTTGCCAATCCAACGTAGGGGATGTGAGCCCGAACGTGCTCGGAGCGTTCTGCACCGATACGGGAAAACCGTGCGATTTCAACCGCTCTTCATGCAACGGGGATGACACACTCTGCGTGGGGCGTGGACCTGGGTATTCTCTAACTGCTTCCGGAATAAGTTAATCATCGTCGGGCATTTCTTTAGTTGTGTGGTGGTTGTGAAACGGCCCATAAGCTTCTTAGCTTAAATTGATATGAGGGTTCGTGATGCTGGGTTACAGGTACCCAGATGAAATACTAAGCACCAAGATCATAGGTGACAGGCAACTCAAGATGGCCATCGAGCTATTCGAGTCTGCTAAAGAAGAACTGACAGGAAAGATAGACTATCGTCATGCATATGTAAATTTCACAGATATTGAGGTGGAGTTAGAGGGAAACCGGGTGGTTAAAACGTGTCCGGCGGCCCTAGGTGCAGGTTTTGCCGCCGGAACCACTGATGGCCCTGGCCAGTTCGGTTTCCAGCAAGGCGATACAGAGGTTAGTAAATTCCTAAGTTAGCTACCACCGGTTTTCGAGTAATTTCAATTGCGCATACCACATTTACCGTGCAATGATACTTTGCAAGTTTCAGCCAGATTAGAATCCGACTTATACTTTATTATCTCATTTCACGTGAATGTCTCACGTGTTTACAGATCAACCCCTTTTGGAAGCTTGTGAGAAATATGCTGAAAAAACCGAGTGCGTATCAGGAGGAATGCCAGAAGCCAAAGCCCGTCTTACTCAGCACCGGCGAAATGTTCGATCCCTATGCTTGGGCGGTATGATCGTCTCCCTATCCAATCACACTGTTATAGTAATCTCACATGAGCCAGCTGTTCTAATGGACTTATCTAACTTCACCATGAGCTGCAACCTGCTTGAAGCATACCAGATCCAAAACTAATGCATTCAGAGTATTGAAATCCACTTCTTCTGATAGAAGCATATGCTCTACTGGCTCACATCTTGTGATCCTTCAGTGTTGCCTAGCTGGTTTACTTCAGTAATACGCTTAAGTAGGAGGTGCTAGATGGATGTTACCAGATAATTTTAGCCCAAGTGCTGATAAATTGTTAAGAGGATTAATAGCTAATGCAACAACAATGTGCGGTCACGGGTTGCGTGTGATGATCACATTATCTTAACATCACCACAGACAAGCATGATCAAATGTCTCAACAGTCCTTTTTCTACTGTAATGCAGCCAGCGATCCTTCCGATTCAAATGCTCAGGCTAGGACAACTTATCATTCTCTCTGTACCAGGAGGTTCGTTTCTCTCCAATTCCCTCATGCAGCGAATTTTAATTTCACGCCATAGCTTCGGTTTGCTTAGAAATAGTCCATTCCTCCATGTATGGAAGTGTTAAGACTTCTTCTGGAATAGATCATGCTCAACCGGGAATGTCGCGGCCACTACATATCTAAATTGAACATAGTATCTCAAGACCCACGTCTAGACACTAAAGAGGAAATTCCAAAAGTAATTCCACAGGTGGTTTAAGTAAGACGTTTTTTTGGGTCAAGATGGATGACAAAGTCCCATAATTTGTCATGTTAACGAAGAAAAGCAGTTTCAGTCGAGAACAGGTTTTGATCGTATATGGGTTTCCTAAAGTTCATTAAACATGTCCCAAACACGATATTTGGAGACTCTGGTCTATGCCAGAACAGAAGTAGCACTGCTAGATGGAAACCTTGAGCTGTCAGGGTGACATTTATTATACAAGCTAATCAAAATCCTGTTTTCGGAATTTACAGAATTCACGACAATGGCTGGCCGGCGACTGAGGGAGGCGGTGAAGGAGACATTGATAAGCAATGGGAATGGAGAATTGCAGGAGGATCTCCAGGTTGTGATTGCAGGCCTTACAAACACTTATTCGCAGTATGTGGCGACCTTCGAAGAGTACACACAACAGCGATACGAGGTACTCTCTTGTGCAGCTCATAAAAGCAAATGATAGCGCTCCAACGACATTACCAACAATCACTATCTAGTCAGCAGAATTCTATAAGTAGAGATGAGGCATATCTCAATAGATTTTTTGAGGCAGCCATGATGCTAAATTGATTTAACTTGGAGGGGCAACCGAGAAGAATTACCGTCATAGGACTACCAGAACTCGCTGTTCTGTGAGATAGCATCCATATGCTTTCTGCATTACAGTTGCTAACTTATGTTGCAGGCTGCTTCTACGCTCTACGGCCCCCACACGTTATCAGCCTATATCCAAGAATTCAAGAAATTAGCAAAAGCCATGGCAACAGGAGAAAAGGTCCCCACGAGAGGTCTGTCACCGCCCGACCTTTCCTCTGTACAGCTCAGCCTCTTGCTTCCCCCACTGGGTGACACTCCTCCTCCAGGCATTAATTTCGGCGACATGAATGAAGACGTCACCCTACCAGAAAGTAAAGCATTTAAAAGGGGAGACAGAGTAAACGCCACGTTCTGGAGTGCAGACCCGAGACACGACCTATTAACAGAAGGCACGTTTGCAGTCGTAGAAAAGCTTGAGGGGGAACGGTGGATACCGGTACATGATGATGATGACTTCTGCTTGTTTTTCAAGTGGAAGTCAGAAGACTATGGATATGGTTCGGCAACCATCGAGTGGGAAGTTCCGGAGGAGGCTAAGCCTGGGATTTACCGCTTGAGGCACTATGGTTCCTCTCAGAAGATATTCTCTCCCACCGAGTACTTCACTGGCGCGTCCAGTGCATTTTCAGTGTTGTAGTATCATGTGCAGAATTATCACCAAAGAGTCCCAATGAAAATTTCAGCATTCCGGAACATTTACAGGGTTTGCCACCTTAGAATGTGATGAACAATATATTCCAAATAAAACACTATTTCATGCAGGAATAATGTAGAGTTTTTGCTCTGAGAGGAAAAAAACAGCAAAAGTCAACTCATTTGCCCATCCATATCACACATCGAAGACACTTTCCCTCGATGAGTAACTCGAAAGCTTTGTTAATATCTTCAAAGCCTACCTCATGTGTGACAAACTCATCCAACCGCAACTCCTGAAAGTACAAGAGGAAAGAGAGAGAAGTTCAAAGGCATATCATCACGAATATCTGGAATCAGACTCTGATTTGAAACGAGAACTGATATAAAAATGAAATATTTCCTCGGCATTTTCAACTCTCTAGGCACAGATAAATAAATAGCACAACCAGCTGCCTGGAATTGCTGCACAGCTTCATGTGTGTGATGATAATGCAAAAGTGCTTTCCAATCAACTTAGGATTAAGAGCAAAGGAAGGAAAGATATGATACAAGTAGCTATAGAAAAGAAGAGTCACCTTGTCCACATAGCGCCTCAGGAGGATGGGAATATCTGACTTAGCTTTGAGACCTCCAAACAAAGATCCCATAAGGCTTTTCCCGCTATGAAGGACGTCAAAGGAGCTAAAGGTCAACTGTGACCCTGGCTTGTCCACTCCCAACACAACTGTTTTTCCCCAACCCTGAACCTCAAGCGAATAAGAGATGATCAATAACCACAGAATTCTGTGGCCTGTCTAAAAGGTCATGTATCTTAGCATGAGAGAGAGAGACAGATAGACAGACAGACAAAGACAGAGAGAGAGACAGAGGGAGACCTTTCTGCAAGAAGCATAGGCCTCATGCACCAATGATGCCAAACCAACACACTCAAAGCAATAGTCTGCTCCCCCGCCAGTCATCTCATTGATCACCTGTTCAATTGAGATCAGAGAAATTTAAACTATGTGATGAAGTAAAGAGTTTAACATGTAGAGGAGCTTTACATGGCCAAGAAAACAACATATAAAGCCTGATAATCAGCTATTATTTTTTCATCTTACATTATCTTCCTTATTACTGCAAAGTAGGTACAGTGCACTAGAGCAGTCCAGAAAAACAGAGCACCATGCCAGTGCATGAATACATTTCAAGTTATACTTCCAGAAGTCAAACAAAATGAAATATGTAGGATCACTGTTGCCAAAGATAAGAGATGTTGCCTTGCAACCAGTAACCATTTATTGCCGTGAACTTAAGGATCAGATGTTTAGGAAAAAACCTGGCTTAGCGATTTATTATCGGAGTTTCCAGCATTGACAAAATCTGTCACCCCAAACTTCTTTCCTGTGTCAGTAAGGAAAAACAGGAACTGAACTTCAAAACAATGAAAGATACTCTGATCAATGGCAGACCGAGAATTTCACACTCGGGACAACAACTGATGCTGATGGTTTTACATGCAAGTATACCCAGGTCCTTAATCTGAGTTTTTCTTTTCTTTTATATTTTGGACTTTTCCTTTCTGTTTTGTGGGGACAGAAAGGGGGTACATATGCCATAAGTTTGAGATATCAATTCAGATATGATGATCTAACTTTGGAGTAGACAATCCTAGAATCCAATGTTTAGACGTCACACATTCTTCAATGAGCAGAGTAGTTTCTTGTTTACAAATTGTATGTATGGGCATGCAGACCTTGATATTTTTCTGAGAAGCATTAACTTTTATAAATGACATTGAACTTGGTCCTTCCAAGCTCTTAATCCTAACTTCACTTCTATCTTTGTCTATCATCTGAACTTGCAGTCTGTTACCACGATAACTGCTATTATATAAAATTACTGCATATTGGCCACTGCTAGTAATCAAAAGACTTTTTGAATTATAATTTTACTGCAAACTCGTCAACATGTCTTACCAATTTCGAACTTGTCCGGGTTCACATCCACGCCTATTATTCTGGCAGCACCACACAATCTCGCTCCTTCCGCAACCTACAGAGACAATCCCAAGCCATTATCTCTCTTATAATCCTTCGGTATGAACTTGTCCTTTCAATTTAATTCTCGGATCAAGGGATTTGTGGAAAAGTATGACAAGAAAACATAATATTGGAATATTTCATACTGCTAATCCAATTGAACCAAGTCCAATGATTGCAACAGTTGATCCTGCCTCCACATTCGCTGTTCTCCAAGCAGCTCCAACCCCTAAACAGAACCAACCAGTTTTCAGCATTTATTGTATCCACTACTTGTCGCTATGTCAGTCAAAATTCGCTAAGATAGTTCTTTTGCAAGAGGCTCATGCAAGTTGGAAACACGAAGAAATTGAGAACAAATATGCAATCAGACAAGACCTTTCAAAGCCCACCCATTCAATCTAATTTCTTTCTGACTCAATACAACCATCCCTAAAGACCAGTACTGGTAGTAAAGCAACGAGAGAGACTAATTTGTGTCAGCCATTTGAATAGCCAAAGCACGCATATTCTACTCGAGGGATCAAAAGGCACATTAAAACCTGAATCATTTATTAAGTAAAGTTGTAGGCATAATGCTGAAATGCCCCACAGCAACAGTAAAAGCTTTACAGAAGTATGAATGGACAGAATTGGCATGAGAATATGCAAACCAATAGGAAGATCCAATAGTTGGCTTGGGAAGAGCCACCCACAAAACAGTGAACCAACAATAAAGAGCCAAAGACATCAGCTCCTTCTTATCACGTGTGAAGTCAAAATGAAAATAACAGCTGCAAGAAGTCTTGACCTTATGAGGAAAGCAATTACTATTACTGAGATTGAAAAGGAAATGGGCTTCACCTGTTGAGACCCCACAACCAATGAGGCATGCTCTATTTGGAGGAATTGCAGGATCAATCTTAGTTACATGGGCAACATCTACCACGGTATACTCAATAAAGCTCGACACGAACAGAAAGTGATATAGAACCTCTCCATTAATATCCTTGAATCTGCTTGTCTCATATCTAGGCATCCATGGAGACACCTTGAAGGGGAGTTTTGAGCATAAGTTGCTCTTCTTTGACTTACAATCTGCACAGTCACCACAATCTGACATGAAGGTTGGAATCACTACATCCCCTTCAGTTACCTCGTCAACATTTTCTCCGATGCTCTCCACAATCCTGAAGACAAGGAAATTTTGAATGCAATATCTCAAGGATACCAAAATGAGGGAAAAGGACACTAGAAGTGCCATGACTTTCATACGACGCTCACTTTATTGTCAAAACTTTTCGTCGGATCACTTAAGTGTCAAATCGGAGAAAAACCGATAGTGCCTTTGGAGACAAATTATGGCAATTAGTCCCACGCGACTTTTTTTTTATGAAATTTTAATGTCTGTGGCTTTCTTATAAAAAAAGGAAGTCCAACTTGGACGATGACCTGGCCTTAAAACTCATCTCTTCTCTCTCTAATCCGAGAAAGAGATCGCTTGGCTTGAAGCTCAAGCTCTTAGGAAGTCAGGATTCATCTTCAATAGTGACCAATCCACTCCAAATCGACCCCAAAAGCGGTTTCTAGTTCTACAGCTCCTACTCCACCTTCATCAGCAAGTGCAACCCATTCCCCCTCCCTCAACATCACCACCTTCATCTCCTCCTGTTCCCACTGCAGCTCCACCGCCTTCATTGACGCCTCCTCCGGCCTCCACGCCCCTTTCCGTGAGCTCTGGCGCTCCGTCAACTCCCTTGCCTCTCCGCCATAGGCATCCGCAAGGGCACGCCATCCTCCTCCTCGACCCCAACTCCATCTCTTTTCCCATCGTCTACCTCGCCATCATGTCCCTCGGCACCGTCATCACTACCACCAATTAGTGGTCCCTCGTTCTCTCAATCTAAACATGTTCATGCTATATTTCTTTTTCCCAGCATTTTGAACCTTCATCACGGTTTTTTGTTACTATCCATCCTCAAAATCCCACTCTAAAAATTGCAATTCAAGTGAGATAAAATCACACAATTGAAATAGCAAACCTCTATTGCAAGTTTTACTTACTAATTTTGTCCCAAATACACGGTTGTGATTTGGGGCAATCATGTGTTAAATTGCATTGTTTAGGCCATTAGTGCTAATTGGGCACGCCGGCAAGCCACGTCGATTGAAAGAAATGTTAGAATATTGCCACGTTAGATTTCTAGCGTCCCAAATCGGAGTTGGCACTTAAGTGATCGTTTCTTTTCAAAAAATGGCACTTAAGTGATCCGACGATAAGTTTTTGTACCAAGTGAGCGCCGTACGAAAGTCATGACACTTCTGGTGTCATTTTTCCCCAAAATGAAGAACAAACTGATCCTAAGAGCGTAAACTTTAACATCAACAAAGAGAAAAAAAATACAAAGATAGAGCCCATGCTCTGGCAAGTCAGAATTAACAGTTAACAGCAAATATTATATGTATGTGAGCAGAAGCTACACGATTATTGGCTTTCGGGAAAGGTATATCAGAGAAAAGAAGTGCTACTCTACAGAAATCATATCGGGGTGCTCATAAACTAGCAGGATTAATTCAAGGTAGAAGTGATGAAAAATTAGACAAAGCATTATGGAAAAAACGTCTTGGCCTATTTGGAATCATATGGTTAGACTATACATATATGGGAAAGTAAGAACCTGCAAAAGTTGCAGATCAATGATTGTCTGGGAACTTATTTGGGCACGGATCAAATCAAATAAAGGTATGCCTTTTGGAGAATATTCTGCCTATATTAGGAAGATAATATGGTTGTTGTTGCATGGATTGCTGCACAGCCATCCTTGAATGGAGCTGAAAATCCTCAATGTTCATTGATGAACTCAGTTTACCTTTTTAATGTTTCCCTAGATTCAAATTCATCCAATTTAAATACTACTACTTCACCTTATCAGAGTTGAGCATCCGTTTAGAGATCTAATATTCACAGCATATACTACTTTTGCTCTATATGTGCATCATTTCCATTGGATATCTAGCAAGTTTGACTCTTACATGTATTTTTCTTGAAATAATTCT